CCACTGCATTAAGATAATGGGCTTTGGAGTCAGGAGGACCTGGGTTCAAGTCCAGACTCAACAGATACTTACTATGCTATCTTTGGAAAGTGACTTTAAAGTTTTCTTGTCCATAAAATAGGGAAAAATACCCACTTACTGGTAAATTTTTAGGTCCAAAAGAGTCAAATGAAATAGTGAAGTCAAGCAGTCAGTAGGTAGCAGGCACTGTTTTCAACTTATAATTCTTCAGTAGCTTTGATACAAATAAAAAGAGTAAAATTATTTAGTTTCTCAATCCTTTAGGCTCATATGCCAACAATTTTTGCCCTTCTCTCCCACGAATGAAATAATTATGAATTCTCATGTCTGTGAGATGCCTGCAGCAGTCTGGACTTTACTGCCCTTGGAGCAATGCTCTGAAAGATAACGTCAGACCACTTACAAAGGTGGTTATGAGGTTTTTTTGGTAATCATTCCTCATGTCTTCTGAAAAAAAAGTTCTCTATCTTTCAAACTGTATACAATTTCCATTTTCCAAGAGATCATATAAGCCAGCCCGAGAAGCAAAGATCCAGTCTCAGAAAATCCATCGTCGTCGAGTCAATTCTGACTCAAAGCGACCCTATGGGACAGAGTAGAACGGCCCCATAGTGTTTCCAAGGCTGTAATCTTTACAGAAGCAGACTGCCGCCATCTTTCTCCTGTGGAGCGGCTGGTGGGTTCAAATTCACCTTTCAGTTAGAAGCCTGAGTGCTTAACCACTGTGCCCCCCGGGCTCCCTTCTGGTCTTAGAGCATAAATGAAGCCATAGGTTTGCACTCTACGTTGTGCAGAGATCCAACATTTGGCCTGAGACCGTCATCCGTGTTCTTATGTGAAGGCGGAGCTCCCAAAATATAAACTTCAAAGGTGTTTCTATTTCTATAATAGATGTATGAGATTTTTATAGGCAGTCTAACATTTGGTGTCTTCATACTCATACGCCCTTTCCCTTTTAATAATCCCTTCAGTGTCTTATTCCATTAAACAGATTTTTAAAGTGTAGTATTGTGAGTGTGCATGTGTATGTGTGCGTGTGTGTGTGTGTGTGTGTGTGTGTGTGATGACAGCTACCCTCGAGGGAGACATGGATGAGCAAATTTGACCCTGGATCAGAGAGATGCCTTTGTATATGAATGAAACCGTATAGATAATGCCAGTCTTATAAATGCATACTACTCCAAATTTCATTTGTTTTAAGTCAGTCGTTTGGAACTTGGGACACATTTTCTCATAAAAGAAATGTTCTACATAGCGGACAGAGTGTCAGACCAACCCACAAGAGTTTCTTTAACTCACTCTGCACCTGAAGCAAAATTGTTACTAACTCTAGAGAACAATGTTTCCATGGGAACAGATATCCAGAGTTCTGCTGTTTAAGGTTGAGAACCATTGACTATAAAATTTTAACTAGTCATCTAAAACACTACCTCTTATTGCGTCAAGAAATTACCAAGAAGACTAGCTACATGTACCACAAATTATTTCTTGAATATATTAAGTTAAAATAATATTTGTTTCTTCGGCTTGTTTTATGTACTTTGAAACTTTAGCAAAAGCGATATGTATAACAAGGAAAAAGTTCCTTTAAACATTCTTGACCTGTTCCAACCTTGGCTGCTAGTCATATTTTTTCCTGGCTAGCTCTTTCTGCATACCAGTATCAGATTAGCAAACTGCAGGAAGCAACGGTCCCTGCCCTTACGTCTGTTTGTTTTTACATCAAAATTGTTATATTGGCTTTTCCTACCTTATCTTTCCCTTTCCCTTAGGTTGTAAAACTTGCCTCATAATTTACTAGGAATCTAGAATAACTAAGTAGTGAAATATATTCTAGGTCACTCTGACCACAGGAATCAGAAGTGTTTTAACTACACAATACACAGATTAGGCTGGAAGCTGTATAAATATATCACAGAGTCCCAGGGCTGGAGAGAACCTAAAAAGATTGTCTAGTCTATTCCCTGGACTGCAGACAAGCCAAACCATTCCAAACAGATGAGACATGAACCTAGATTTTGGAAGAGAAGGATGACTGTGTCTTTAACTCTTTCTGGATTTAACGATCTGCACGTTGTTGGTAAACCGTTCTTCATTTTTAATCTAAAGCCTTCCAGTTACAGTTACAATTACAATTTTACTTTACTTTCTCATGTTTGCTCCTCACAGGAAACAAAGTAGGTTTATCTGTGTAAAATCTTATCGTATATTTAAATGTTCTTATATTTTGTGAAGCTGACGTGTTGCTGGGATGCTGAACAGGTTTCACTGGAGCTTCCAGACTAAGGTGGACTAGGAAGAAAGGCCTGGTGACCTATTTCCGAAAATCAACCAGTGAAAATCTTATGGATCACAATGGTCCAATTCATAATTGATCATGCGGACGGCGCAGGACTGCGCATCGTTTTGCACACGGGGTCACCATGAGTCGGTGGCCGTCTTGAAGGCAGCTAACAACAACAGTGTCAATACATTCAGTGTTCTCACGTCTAGGACATTCTTGAACATCTCAATGCCTAATCTGTTCATTACCTTTGTCCTGCTCTCTCTGTGTTGTCTGCATCCCTCTTCAATGGAGGAAAACAGTATCTTGCTACTATGTTTTATGAGGCAGCTGAGAATCGAGCATGGGTCACCTTACAGTTTTCACACATAAGAATATTTAAGCATAATCTGATAAGCAGACCCTAAGCCTTAGACTCAAAGGAAAATCAAATTAAATAATTACAATAAAACTCCAATAACATAAGCTTTTTATTTATAGCTACTTTCTAGTAGTAAAAAGGGCATAACCAGCATAATCATATTAGCTCTTCAATCAGGTAAGGAAATCAAAGAGAACCTACCTATATTAAGTAAAGTTATTCTTAAAGAGTGTTACCCTTAAACATCACTGTTACGGATTGAATTGTGTCTTCCAGACAGATATGTTTAACTCCTAGTCCCCAGTATCTGTGAATGTGACATTGTTTGGAAATACAAAAACCAAACCTGTTGCTACTGAGTCGATTCTGACTCCTAGCGACCCTACAGGACAGAGCAGAACTGCCCCATAGGGTTTCTAAGGAGCTGCTGGTGGATTCAAACTGCCAACCTTTTGGTTAGAAGCTGAAGTCTTAACCACTGCACCACCAGGACTCCAAACCAAACCAAAGCCCTTGCCGTCGAGTCGATTCTGGCTCATATCGACCCTATAGGACAGAACAGAACTGCCCCATAGGGTTTCCAAGGAGCACCTGCTGGATTCAAACTGCCGACCTTTGGGTTAGTGGCCTGAGCTCTTAACCACTGCACCAGCCGGGCTCCTTCTGTATGGAAATAGATGTTATCATACTGGAGTAGGGTGGCTCCTAATCCAGTAAAAGTGGTGTCCTTACTAAAGAGAAAAGTCACAAAGACAGATACAGAAGGAAGCTTGCCATGTGAAGAAGGAGGCAAGCTTCAGATGCAATCCAAGGACTGCCTGGGGCTACCAGAAGCTGGGAAAGACAGAAAGGAACTTCTCCTAGAGCCTTCAGAGCGAGCGTGGCCTTGCAGACACCCTGAATTCGGACTTCCAGTTTCCAGAACTGTGAGATAAGAAATTTCTGTTGTTTTAAGAAGTACTTACTTTGTGATACTTCGTTATAGCAGCCTTAGGAAACTAATATGGTCACCAAATATAATTTTTCCATAAGGGATAAACCTTGAAACTGTCTTTTGCTGATCGTTAATGACTATTTAAACTCGACACTCAGAGACTCTTTCATGGAAATTTTCAAAGGAATGGGCATTTTGATCTCTACTCTGGAAGCCAGTGTACACGCTGGCGTTATAACAAGTACTGTTGGCTATAATACTGTTTTAAAACAGTTCCACTTTCCTCCAAGATGAAAGGGAAAGATGGGCTATTGTAAATTAGTTAATGGAATTCCATCTGCTTATGAAGTTTTACATGCCTCAAAAGTCAGGATTATGTCCAAAAGAAGTGGGCATGGGTGAAAATTTTCATAACTATGATCTCAACCTGATATTAAACTATGGGCCTTGTTTATTTCCCAAACTTATAACTAATGTACCACCACTCATTGGATGGCTGCTCATGCTAAGCATCTAAGGGCAAGAAGCAACTCTCTGAGAACCAGGCTGACAACTTCATCTTGTAAAATGGCCAGGATTGCACATGGCCTAATGTGTCTACATTAGCCAAGCAACTCAATGGAGACCGTTAATTCTACCCCTGTACAGGGTTACAAAGTAGAATCAGTCTTCATAGCTCTTAGGAGAATACAACACTTGTGCTTGACTGCTAACTGAAAGGCTGGAGCTTTGAGTCCACCCAAGGGTGCCTCAGAAGAAAGGCCTGGTATCTACTTCTGAAAAATCAGCCCTTGGAAACCTTATGGAGCACGGTTCTACTCTGACACACATGGGGTCACCATGAGTCGAAATCCACTTGATGGCAACTGGTTTACTGGTTTTACTCTTCCACCAGCATGCAATCACCGAATACTCCAACATGCTCTTTTTGTTACCATAACAGGAAGCTCATTTTCCCATCAACCAATTAAATTCCTGGTCAAAAGAGGATTTTCTCTTTACTACAACCATGATGATATACGACTCTTATGCAGAGGAAAATATATTATTAAAGAAAGTTTTCTCACTTTTGCTGTCAGGATGTCAGCATTATTCATAGCGTAATGGTGTAACTACTTAGTTATGCATTGCTAATTTCAGCTAAATAGACAATGACAAGCCTACACTGTCCTTAATCAGTATTAATAAAAGTATTCTTTCAAGGAAACTTCCTAGTTTAAAAAGTGTTCCTTCAGGACCCATAATTTAAATTTCTTTCCATATGCTGACAAAAGTACAGCATGAAATTGCAATTCTGGTCTTCATTTGCAAGAGTTTCAGGGATGTCCTGTAAGGCCCCCCCTAATTACACAAACGAATTGAAGGAAAATATAATTTAACAATGGGCAAAGGCAACTTACTTGTTCATTTTTAGTAAGCCTGGTTTTGTTGTGAATGTCTGAAGTGACCAAATTGAATCCATGCTTCTCAGACAAGATCCTCAGAAGCAAGACCACAGTGCGACTCCCACACTTGCCCACTCTGTTGTATACCACCTGGCTCGGGAATGGTAGTACCTGGGAAAAGAACAATACAGCACATTTGTCACTTCTGTATTAAAATATTAATCCTTCCTCTTTCAATTTTGGAACAATAAATGTTTGATAAATCAAGCTAATGAGAGAACAGAAGTGATGAACTACGCTTTATCCTCACACTATAACTTGGAAGAGATGCTGGAATTGCTATCACTTCATCGGCACTGCTACTAGTAAAGTTTCATGAAGTTTATAAAATTGATTATGAAGCTTCCTCTCATTTTTGCTAGGAAAAACATATATAAATATGGCCTTTAATGTTAATGATCTTTATAAGTTATATTATGCTTTACCAGAACAACTTAATTTGTAGAGCGATCAAAGAAAAACATACTAATATTTAAAGTTGAGATAGCAGTCACACATCATAAAACTCACCCTTTTAAAGTGTGCAATTCAATCATTTTTAATATACAGGTGCTCCCTGACTTATGATATATTTGAGTTATGATGAACCACCTTATGACTGTGCTGTTTTTGCTTTGTTTTGTTTTGTTTTGTTTAACATTTTCTCATTAGTAACGTATTAAACACAATGTCGCAGTGGGTATTTGCTGATGTCATCATACCTGTAAGTTTATCTTTAATGTTTCCAACCCCCAAAGACAAAGATTGGATTTATAAAGATATTGATAAAAAAGGCAATAATAATGAAAACTAAAAAAAAAAAAAGAAACATTCGACTTATGTCAGAACTGACTTAAAATTAAATCATCGGAACGACACCTCGTTGTAAGTTCAGGACTACCTGTATTCACAAAGTTGTGCAACCATCGCCATTATCTGATTCCAGAACATTTTCAAAAGAAACCCCATACCCTTTAGCAGTCACATCTCATGCAGCCCCTGGAAACCACTAATGTACTTTGTCTCTATAGGATTCTGGATATTTCATAGAAATGGAATCATACAATGTGTGGCTTTTTGTGTCTGGTTTCTTTTATTTAGCATAATGTTTTCAAGGTTCATCCATGTTGTATCATGAATCAGTACTTCATTACTTTATATGTCTGAATAAGAGTCCATCGTATGGATATACCACAATTTGTTTATCTGTTCATCAGTTGATGGACATCTGGATTATTTCCACCCTTTGGCTACTATGAATAATGTTGCTATGAGCATTTGTAAACAAGTTTTTGTGTGGACATATGTCTCCAATTATCTTGGGTATATACTGAGTAATGGAATTGCTAGAGTCATATGGTAACTCTATGTCTCATTTATTGGAGAAGCTGTCAAACCGTTTTCAAAGCAGCTGTACCATTTCTATTGCCACCAATAACGTATGAGGGTTCCAATTTCTCCATATCCTTGTCAACATTTGTTATTGTTTATCTTTTTGTTTATAGCCATCCTAGTGCATGTGAAGTAGTATCTCATTGTGGTTTTTATTTGCATTACCATACCGACTAGTGATTTTATGCATCTTTTCATGTGCTTATTGGACATCTGTATATTTTCTTTGGAGACATATCTATTCAAATCCTTTACCCATATTAAAGTTGGGTTATTTTTCTTTTTATTGTTGAGTTTGAAGACGTTTATACATATTCTGGATACTAGATCGTTATTGTGGCATGACTCAAAATGAGAAGAAACAGCTGCAAACATCCATTAGTAATCGGAACGTGGATGTACGAAGTATGAATCTAAGAAAATTGGAAGTCGTCAAAAATGAAATGGAATGCATAAATAACAATATCCTAGGCATTAGTGAGCTGAAATGGACTGGTATTGGCCATTTTGAATCAGACAATCATACAGTCTACTATGCTGGGAATAACAAATTGAAGAGGAATGGTGTCACATCCACTGTCAAAAAGAACGTGTCAAGATCTATCCTTAAGTACAATGCTGTCAGTGATAGGATATAGCCCTATGCCTACAAGAAGACCAGTGAATATCACTATTATTCAAATTTACGGACCACCCAAAAGCCAAAGACGAAGACATTGAAGATTTTTACCAACTTCTGCAGTCTGAAATTTATCGAACATGCAGTCAGGATGCATTGATAATTGGTGGTGATTGGAATGCGCAAGTTGAAACAAAGAAGAAAGATCAGTAGTTGGAAAGTATGGCCTTGGTGATAGAAAGGATGCCAGAGATCACATGATAGAATTTTGCAAGACCGATGACTTCTTCATTGCAAATATCTTTTTCAACACCATAAATGATGACTATACATGTGGACCTCATCAGACGGAATACACAGGAATAAAACAGACTACATCTGTGGAAAGAGAGATGGAAAAGCTCAATATCATCAGTCAGAACAAGGGTAGGGGCCAACTGTGGAACAGACCATCAATTGCTCATATGCAAGTCGAAGCTGAAGCTGAAGAAAATTAGAACAACTCCACAAGAGCCAAAGTACGACCTTGAGTATATCCCATCTGAATTTAGAGACCATCAAGTTTTGGCACATTGAACATTAATGACCAAAGACCAGACGAGTTGTGGAATGACATGAAGGACATTATACATGAAGAAAACAAGAGGTCATTAAAAAGACAAGAAAGAAAGAAAAGATCAAAATGGATGTCAGAAGAGATTCTGAAAGTTGTTCTTGAACGTAGAGTAGCTAAAGCGAAAAGAAAAAATGAAGTAAAAGAGCTGAACAGAAGATTTCAAAGGGCAGCTCAAGAAGGCAAAGCACTATAATGAAATGTGCAAAGAGCTGGAGATAGAAAACCAAAAGGGAAAAACACTCTTGGGATTTCTCAAGCTGAAAGAACTAAAGAAAAAAATTCAGGCCTGGAGTTGCAATATTGAAGGATTCTACAGGGATAATATTAAACGACCCAGGAAGCATCAAAAGAAGATGGAAGGTATACACAGAGTCACTATGCCAAAAAGAATTGATCGACGTTCAACCATTTCAAGAGGTAGCATATGATCAAGAACCGATGGTACTGAAGGAAGAGGTCTAAGCTATACTGATGGCACTGGCGAAAAACAAGGCTCCAGGAATTGACGGAATACCAATTGAGATGTTTCAACAAATGGATACAGCACTGAAAGTGCTCACTCGTCTGTGCCAAGAAATTTGGAAGACAGCTACCTGGCCAGCTGACTAGAAGAGATCCATATTTGTACCCATTTCAAATAAAGGAGATCCAACAGAATGTGGAAATTATCAAACAATATCATTATTATCATACACAAGTAAAATTTTGTTGAAGATCATCCAAAAGCAGTTACAAAAGTACATTGACAGAGAACTGCCAGAAATTCAAGCCAGATTCAGAAGAGGATGTGGAACAAAATATTATTGCTGATGTCAGATGGATCCTGGCTGAAAGCAGAGACTACCAGAAAAATATTTACCTGTTTTATTTATGCAAAGGCATTTGACTGTGTGGATAGTAACAAATTATGGGTAACATTGAGAAGAATGGGAATCCCAGAACACTTAATTGTGCTCATAAGAAACCTGTACTTAGAAAAAGAAGCAGTTGTTCAAACAGAACAAGGGGATACTGTGTGTTTTAAAGTCAGGAAAGCTGTGCGTCAGGGATATATCCTTTCACCATACTTACTCAACCTGTATACTGAGCAAATAATCTGAGAAACTGGACTATATGAAGAAGAACACAGCATCAGGACCAGAGGAAGACTCATTAACAACCTGTGCTATGCAGATGACACAACTCTGCTTGCTGAAAGTGAAGAGGACTTGAAGCACTTACTGATGAAGATCAAAGACCACAGCTTTCAGTATGGACTACACCTCAACATCAAGAAAACAAAAATCCTCACAACTGGACCAATAAGCAACATCATGATAAATGGAGAAAAGACTGAAGTTGTCAAGGATTTCATTTTACCAGGATCCACAATCAACACCAACAGAAGCTGCAAGAAATCAGAAAACACATTGCACTCTGCAAATCTGCTGCAAGAGATCCCTGTAAAGTGTGAAATAGCAAAGATGTCACTTTAAGGACTAGGGTGCGCCTGACCCAATCCATGGTGTTTTTAATCGCCTCATATGCATGTGAAAGCTGGACAATGAATAAAGAAGACCAAAGAAGAATTGATGTCTTTGAATTATGGTGTTAGCAAAGAATATTGAATATACCATGGACTGTCAGAAGAATGAACAAATCTGTATTGGAAGAAGTACAACCAGAGTGCTCCTTAGAAGCAAGTATGGCAAGACTTCATCTCACATAATTTGGACATGTTATCAGGAGGGACCAATCCCTGGAGAAGGAAGGACATCATACTTGGTAAAGTGGAGAGTCAGCCAAACAGAGGAAGACCCTCAACGAGATGGACTGACACAGTGGCTGCAACAATGGGCTCAAGCATAGCAAAGATGGTGAGGATGGGCAGAACCAGGCAGTGTTTTGTTCTGTTGTACATGAGGTCACTAAGACTCAGAACTGACTCAACAGCACCTAACAACAACAACAAGGAGTCATTATGAAAAGGATCTATGGTTAAATATTTATACCTCCTATGAAGGTATAATTTGCATTTTGAATGCTCAGCATCGAGCAATATCTGTAATCAAAGCATTCCTTCACTCAGCACATAGCCATTACAGGTCATAAAAAGGCCCAAAGCTGAAGAATATAGTACAGCATAAAAACACAAATAATACCCAAAACTTCCGTATGGTTTGTCATTTGACTTTTTGCCGTTGTAGTTATAGGTTAAGGAGCCCTGGTGGTGCAGTGGTTAGGCGCTTGGCCACTAACGGAAAGGTCAGCAGTTTGAAACCACCAGCCACTCTGCAAGAGACAGATGTGGCAGTCTGCTTCCGTAAAGATTTTTAAATTATAGGTTAACTTCTTTTCCTGAAATATCTCATATGCAGAGTAGCATTTCACAAATTCTGACCTTAGAGGGTAACTGTCGTTGGTGTGAGATGTGATGTTCGTATCACTCACTTAGCAACCAGTCAGGTACCATTCTGACACGCTTCTTCCACAATGTACGTTTTCTCATGCATAAGACCTGATTTC